GGTTGGTACTTATTTAGTAGGAACAACACAACCTGTGACGTAGGCTATATTATACCCAATTGTCTGCAAAATATTTCCTAGTGTTAAGTATTATATTTCACGTTTTATTTGAAAATAACACAAATTTTAAAATAAAAATTTGCAATTTTTTTCATATCATAACAAAATAAAAGTATTATAAACGGAGATCAGCTTCAGCAAACAGAAAATATAAAAATAGTAGAATACTAGAAATACTAGAATAGCCCAAATCTTGGCGATTTGTTTTAAAATCTCGCCACCAAGTTTGTTAAATCGTGCCAAGCAAATGTTTGAAATCTGGCCAAACTAGGCGTGGTTATTTGATATGCATACTTAGGCGAAAGTTGAATTTTGTTACAAAAGAGTTAAAAGAGGTTATTTTTTCGCCATTTATGCTTCTGATCTCTTGCTGTTAGAATCATCATTGTTATTTCACTTTTTAACCGTTATTTCATTTATCATCGTTAATATTTCATTTTTTAATTTTTTTTGTGCTGTACCGGTTGAAAATAATTTAATTTGCTTTTTTTTTCAATAATCACAAAATAACGTTGATCCCAGTAATAATCGCCAACTTGGCGTGATTTCAAAAAGCCGCCAAGAAGTGGGCTATTCTAGGATTTTACCTCAATCCAGTTTTTCTCTTCGGTCAAAAATATTTACTGTGCTAAAATTGATGGTGGGTTTGAAACAAATCTTTCTTGAAGGTTGGCATGCAATTTGGAACTGAAAGCAATCACATTACAATTTATTGCAAAATTGATTAATTGGTGTCAATTAATGGCGCGAGAACATCGTTCGGGCTACATCACATCTAACCCAAAGTCAAAATGAATACAACTAGGATTGCAACTGTTGAAGTAATTATAACATTTGAAGAGTTGAAATGGTCACAGTACACCAAACAGTACTCAGAGTAAGCTAATCAAATGCTCTTCCAACGTGGAAATCATGTTTATTTACCTAAAAGGGTAGTGTACTTTCAAAGTTGATGCTGTTTTGTCATCAGTATTTATACATTAAAAAATAAAACTAAACAAAATTGTGATTTAAACCAGATCGAAATTTATTCGTGGAAGTATTAACATCATACTTCATATGCTACATTTAACTCTTCTTCTGAATTTCGAGCACGGATGGATAACATAGATTAAAAACCTGTCTAAACAACGTATTGTGACAGTTAACAAGGACGATTATATTATTTTAACGTTTTATTGTGCATGCGTATATTTATGACTCTACCTATACAATTCCTTGGCCCGGCTGAGAAAGGCACATAGGCATATGGATGTCTTCCTGCTACATTCTCAGGAAAAAACCTTGCTGGGTCAAATTTTTCTGGATCTGGAAATGTTTTAGGATCTCTATGAAGCATAAGTGGAAAGATAAAGCAAGCGCTCCCCTTTTCGACTTCGTAGTCCACTAGAAATTCAAAAATTCCGTTTTCATGAGAAAAGTAAGTTCAGCATAATATTATAATTAATTATTGAAAAAAAATGTGAAGTTTTTAACTCAGCAAAGTTTAATAAATAAATTGAAATTAACCCTTTTGAAGGCCGTGGTAAGTATACTTACCACCACGTTTTACCACTTTTAATTTAGGTTTCCATTTTTCAATAACTTCAGCTTTCTTGAAGTGAGTTTGAGTAAAATTGGTAACCATTTGCCACTTTTGAAAAACGTATAAAAGTATAAAATACATAACTCCTTTTGAAGTTTGTGGCATTTAAGGAGTTTATTTTATAAATAAAGAAAAATAAAAGTCAGTAAGTTCCTAATAGGTCATGTTAAATATATTTACCACCAAAAAAATGGCCATTTTTATAAACTAAATGAGTTTTTTTTTTATATCAATTACTGTTCTTAAAACAGTTTCAATTCCAAAAATACTTTAATTTACCTTTACTAGAAATAAAGGGCCCGTTAAAGGGTTAAAAGTCTGATTAGGTGAGGATCCTAAGTTACATACATGTAAAAATATTGAGTTTAATGGCACAAACAATAAACAAATAAAAAACAGACAAAAAAAAACTGTCCCGTATTAAAAGAAAAATATTATAATTAATTATTGGAGAAAATATTAAACTTTTATCTTTGCAATGCTTAAAAAATAAACTGAAATTAAAAATCTGATTGGGTGAGGATCTTAAGTTACATTAATGTTAAAAATATTGAGTTTAATGGCACGAAAATGGATGCGGACAAAAAAAAGATCCCATTTTTAGTGCACTTGAAAGAAAAATTGTTAAAATAAAAATTTCAAGTTTAACTAAATTTTCTTTCAAGAATCCAATGAAAACTAATCAAATAATAAATTATTGATCGCAACTTTAAGCGTAATTTAGTCGAAGCTATAGTTTGTTTACTTGCTGCATCTCTAACTAATGCAATGCTCAATCCATTTCCCGCAAAATTTGGACACAATATTCATAATTAAACTTAGTTTTCGTTGCACGTAGGGATTTTTAAATTGGATTGACTGGCTTTGAGTATTCCATGAAAAAGTAATTTATTTACGTCATTTTCTGAATTTTTTTTAACAAAGTCATTTTATAAAAAAAACTAAATTTTTAAAAATCCTACATGAAACGAAAGCCAAAACTCATGCAGTTTAAAAAAATCAAAACGGAATCAAATTTGGATGTTTTTTTTTTCCCACGATTTTTTTGTGAGGATGTTTTTTTTAGCACCAGGATGTTATGGATAATTTTTAAAAACAATTTATAAGCATTGTATCATATAAGCACTAATTTTTTAAAAAATGTTTTTGTATCGTGATAAAATGCAGATTAAAATGCGCACAATAAGATTGTAAAAAAATGTACGTTAAGTTTAGTTTATCACAATCATTGCAAAATTCATTAAAAAAACTTTATTTTTTACAATCTTCTGTGTTGTTTGGCCTTAAATTAGTAATTATATTTTATACAAGAAATTCTTATTCTAAAAACAATTTTGTAGTTAACACTAACTATGCGAAAATAATTTTTACTTACACACTTTGAAGTTTTCTTTAACTTCTCTAGCTATGAAAGGCGCTGAAGGATATAATCTAAGAGTTTCCTATTGCAATTAAACATGAAGCAATAAACTTACTGCAATTAATGAATAACAGTATTTCCATCATGAAAATTCCTAAATTAAAAGCATACCTTGATGACACACTCCAAGTACTTCATACGCGATAAGTCATTACGTTCAATTTCTCTTTCGTTATCACCCTCAAATATTTCATCCAATTCTTCTTGTATTTTAATCTGCACGTGTCTATCTAATCCAACTAAATATAATGTCCAAGAAATTGACATAGCTGTTGTATCATAACCCTAAAAATAAATTTTGAAACTAACTTTCTGCTACTAAAAATAGTTACCTTCTTAAATATTTGAAACAATGTGAATCACATAATAATAAAAGTTTATATGATGAGTAATTTTATATTCTTATTGCAAAAATCCCGTTCTAACAAATATTGGAAATAATGTTAAGTAAGTAATGTACTCTTTCATTACTTAATCGAAGTTTCTTACCCAATTCTTTTTAATATATAAAAAAAGGAAACAGAAAGTAAGAGGAGGGAAGAAAAGGGGCTGTACCATCGCGTCTAACACAGATCAACAAAATAAATCCGATTTAAAATTTTTGGAAGTCGTTCGGTTTAATAATTGATACTTTTTGTAATGAAATTATGAAAAGTATCAATCCTAACTTTATCAAATTTATGAACTTCCCTAAATACTTTCGTTTAAGTAAGTACAGTCATATTTTACTAGACTGCTACTTAAATTCATGAATTTGAATGCCAACTTTAATGTTATTAAGATATTTCTCTGAAATAAAACAATGAATTCTTAGGGTAGATTATATTTGAGGGTGCCCCTTGATACTCGCCAAGTTGTTAGCGCGGTTGATCGCCAAGCTACGCGATGTTGAAACCCAATCGTGATTCTGATTGGTTTAGATTTTAACGATATTTTTTAATGTTCAACGGTATATGTAATTTTAGAGGTCCGTTAGTTCTACGTTGGATACCGACTGGTAAGGTTACTTTTGATTCTGGTCAATAAAATTGAAGGTATGTGGGCAGTCACAAAAAGGGACTTAAGAAAAAAATGTCACCGCCAGTCCGTTACCACAGACGCCATTTCCGATTCTTATTTTGCCGAATTTATGTGGTGATGGAAGTACGCAGATTCTGTTCATGATAAATTTAGACAGTATCTAATTGCTCTTAGAGAATTCTGTGCACCTATATCTGAAGATATTCAAGCTTAATGAAGAAGTGAGTTGTTTTTTTCCTTTTTTTTTCTTTGGTTACTCCATTAATTTTTGTTTCCATTCAAAATGCATTTTATTGGGTTTATTAATTTTGCTTATATTGGGTTCATTGCAAGTTTATAAAGTTTTGGCCGATGTTTTGTTCAAATTTTCCAATGTTTTATTGAAATATCATTATGTTTTGGCCGCCATTCCTGTCACCACGGAGTTCCGCATAAACAGGAATGGCGCCAAACATAAGTCGCCAATTTCGCTAATTGGCACCCTCAAGTATATTTTTACCGAATTCTTATTAAGTCTGTTTTATCGCATACAGCTTACTTTCTCATATTATAATTTTATCAGCATTATTTCATGATTAAGCATGAGCTCAATTGTGTAGAAATGTATACAAACACGCCACAAGAGCAACAGCCTTAGAGAAGAGATTTACTCCTATCTAAGGTGGTGACCAGCTGGTCGGTCTATAAAACATCGAGATCTTATAAACATACTAAGCAAATTCTGTAGAAAAAAAACAAAAATAGTTCCCTCTATAGGAAACAAACAAAATATTATTAATTCATAAAAAAAACTTTTATTGAGTATTGAGTATAGTTACGTGCGGCGAGCTCTCTGCTTATCGCTTATAGCTCTGCATTTCAAAACATTTATTTCGAATCCTAATAACTGATATCCGTTACAAATAATGCCATGCTGATGACAGTATTTGATCCGCCACTAACAACTGTTATTTTTAAAGTTGAATTGTCATTAATTTAACTCAAAACAATGGCCTTTACTAAACCAGTAAGATAATTCAATTTTTTAAATGCCTCTAAATTGAGTACTTGCTCTTCAAGAAGAAGATACCTGCACATGTGACCTATGACGCTAGCGTAGCTGATCGTTTATAAGCAAAATAACATGTTAAAGCTCAGCTAAGTCTCTCCACATAAGTAAGAAAATTAATTAAAATGAAGTTAATTAAATACGGCGCTGTATCGCACATCGAATTTGTTGAAATATAATTTTTTTCTCATCATTTTTTTAGTATGACTTATTATTTATTTATGTATTTTATTGAAACCGTGATATATTTTTGTTTTGTATACCCAACAATTTCGACGCATAATTAGTTTGTTTATGTTCTACATAGCTTCATGTCTGCTTTTGTGGGCCACTGCGTGGCATACATTTGCCCAGTATATCCTACTCTGATGCTGATGTTTCCTTAAGGTTCGATGCAACTGCCCGATACACATTTGTTCGGTATGCCCTATATCAATCTTTTTTTTAAGGTCAAGTGCCACTGCCAAGTATGCATTTGTGGCGTATCTACAACCATAAATATTAATTACAAAGTAACTTGTACATAAGACACTTAACATTTAACATTAATTAACGCCACACTTTTAACCGGTATTCCGAACACTGATGTTTCTCCTAATCAATCCTCAGCAGATATTAAAACATCAAATAAATATAATAATATCAACGAATAAATTAATATCAAAACGGGGGTAACAAATATTTCGGACAATCACCAAAGCGGCTATGTGATTGTTGACATTCACCGATGAAAGTTGACATTCTCCTGATTTCGGTCATTCAAGGTAACATATACATGTTGCAACATGAACTCGGGTTCAGCAACATTATAATTATTATTCATATTGTTATGCCATGGCTGAACTAGAACCGTTACTTAATTGTTACGGGTCAGGCTGTAACAATATTCCAAAATGGATTATCATAAGAGCATTATTGCTTCTGGAAGGTTTATAACACCCTCTATGTAAACGGACGTTGATTGGATTCTAGTTTCGCTTTTTCGAAAGTAAAGGGAAACTTGTAAAATTGAAAATTTTGGTTTTAAGGTTATTAAAAATTAAACAGAATTCATTATAAAAATGAGGATTTCCAAAATTAATGTTAAAATAAAACAAAAAAAAACATGTTAAAATATTAAAATAAAGATTAAAAGAAAAAAGATGGACGATTTAACATTCTGATGTATTAAAATCTGAAAATTTTATAAATTATTTAAAATAAACCCTTTTTTTTCTAAAATAAACATCCAATCTATTTCATAGATTAGAAAAGCTAATTATTTTATTGAGAATATTCAATGTAATAATGCCACTTAACTAATGTAAATACTTACAAAAAAACTTATGCCCCCTACTGGAGAGAATTAGAAATTTCGAGTTGAAATGTATAATCAGATAGATCTAGTTCATCGGTAACAAACTATAGTAATGTTTAGGTCGGTACACCAACGGTCACGATCTTCAGCTTAGTATAGGCTGAGTTAAGTAATAATAGATCTAGTTCACCGGCAACAAACTATAGTAATGTTTAGGTCGGTACACCAACGGTCACGATCTTCAGCTTAGTATAGGCTGAGTTAAGTAATAATAGATCTAGTTCACCGGTAACAAACTATAGTAATGTTTAGGTTGGTACACCGACGGTCACGATCTTCAGTTTAGTATAGGCTGAGTTAAGTAATAATTTGAGTAATGTTAAATAATTCGTTATGAGTTAAGTATTTATTGAGATTCATTTCGTAGGTTGTCTTATGAAGGAGTTTATGTAGTGTTGACTTGATAGTTATACGTTAAGTATTTATTTAGAATAATTACTTTACGAAGTAATTATGTATTAAGATTTATTTTTTATACTTTCCAAAATGGCTGTAGAAAGTTTAAACATAAACGCAGCTTTTGTGCCTCAAACTGTTATACCAACTATTAGTGATAATTTTTTAAGCGAATGCATAGTCGAAAACAAAACTCAAAACCGCTAGAGGGCGTCAAAGTTTATGTTCTTATATGAGGCAAAAACACACAAAGAACGATGAAGTAAAGTTATAAAAGCAAATTTAGTGGCATGTGATTACAATAAGTGTTCAAAACAGTGGGCGACAGCGGCTATGCTGGTACAACGAAGAAAAGATAGGCGAACTTTCCCTGCAGCGGTCGAAAGCTTGGCGACAAATAACGTAACGCAGTAACTCGCAATAGGAATGGAGCTTTCTCGTTTGCATGAAAAGACTTTCCAAATGCGCCAGCACCTTTGGTTTTGTTTTCGACCATGCATTCTTGCATTCTTTGATAAAAATTGTTTGTCTGGGTGTGTACTGTCACTTCCTAAAATTTTTCCCATCTTTTTAGAATCACCCTGCATATATATATAACAACAGTTGTATGTAAAGCTGGCAGCATATCAATTTATCGTCAAATATCGATATTATTTAAATATCGCCTAAACGATAATGTGAAAAATATCACGACATATCGTAAATTATGGGCGTTTCACAAAATTGAATAGACAATAATTATCGACATCAATAATCTAGTTATCATAATTGGCAACGCTAATTAAAAAAGATGTTAATGTCGCGACTATTGTTGNTGTATATATATATAGATAGATAGATAGATAGATATTAAAATTATACGATTCTCAAGTTATTGTTCGAGAAACGCGTGAGGAGGTCGATTGCCCCATGCTCAATTCCTACGGAGGTTTGTGTGATGAAATGGCTGCTGGACAGATTTCAAATTATGACTAAAATTTAATACATATCTTACACATTTAACACAAACTTTGACAATATCGCGAATATCTCTCGAGAATAGTTAAAGTTGAAATCAAAGTACTTACGCGTGGGAAAAGACGCGTGCAAAAATTTGGTCAATATATTGGTCAAAGTTAATTATGATGTTAGGATTAGAGGGATGGTGGTTGAAAAATTAGAATAGTTAAATACAGCTGTGCTGTGCAGTCGGCTTGGTTGCCATTCAAGTTTATATGTTTTTAACCTTGACGTTTTATATATGTTTTTAACTTTGACGGTCAGGGAAATGAGCAGTTTTCGTTTCATTAATTCGCGCAGTACGAGTATTACGAGCAAACAGTAGTCGAAAGTGGCAGCTGTTTTCCCCCACCCTTCTCTCGGGATGCCAACTGCTCCGCTTTCTGGAATTGTTATAATAAACTGGTAGTAAATTATGTAGTAAAATTCGCTGGAGAAAGACAGTTACGCCTACTTTTTAATAGAGTTACCAGTAGATTGTTGAACTTGAACTATAGTAGAAAACAAAGTGCCTGTCCGCGAAGCGGACAATTGACTTCTTCATCTAAAGTGGCGCCCGAGGGCGCCTGTAATGATGTCGATAGAAAAGGTAAAGCCACAGAAAATTTTTTCTGTGGACGTCTTCTGTTTGTTCTCCAAATCTAAGCCTTTGCAGCTGGGAGAAGAGATTGGAGTAGGGATACTAGTTCCTTGTCTTTTAGGAGTTCCTTCAGCTCTTTAACGATGTGAAGGAGTCTGGTGGCTGTGCTGGCAGCACTTCTGTGTTGCCTTTTTATCGGTGTGGTTTTCCTCCTAGGCCTAGCACGGCAACCTGTAAAACAGGCCGGGTACTCTTCTTGACAGTTAATGCAGGTCGGAGGCTCGTTGTGGGGCTTTGTGCAGAGGTAGGTGAAATGTGCACCTGCACATTTCATGCAGGCCGGCTTTTCTGTGCACCTTCTTTGGGCGTGGCCAAAGCCCTGGCATTTGAAGCATTGAATTTCGTAGCGGCCGCCACGAAACTTTTCTATGCGGACTGGTGTCTCAAGTAGCCGGTCAACCTTCAGGATCTCCCGGTTCTCTGGGACGTCGGTCAGAATCACTAAGTAGAGGGAGAGGAGCTTAAGTTCTCAGCCACGCCTCTTCTTCATTTGCTCGGTTTTAATTGGCCGTAGACCATTATCTGAAAGGTCTTTTTCGAGACGGTGAGTCCCGATATCGGCCGTAAGTCCTCGGATGAGAACTTTTAACTTTCTGCAGGTGGGCTGCAGGGTTTCTATCTGATTTGTAGGTTCAACTGGAGTCTCGACTGGTGCCGGGGCTTCAGAGGTGGTCGGGTCCGAGATGTTTTCTTCCGTCTCAGGGGCGGTAGCAATCTTTTTCTCCGGTTGTTTTTCACTATCTGGTTCGGAATCAGAGTTTTTAGGTATCGCCGGGTTGACACTACTCTTTTTCCTCTTTTTCTTTTTCTTGGACTGCTTTTCAACCGTCGTAGCTATCTCTGGGGTGTTGTTCGAGATTGGCTTATCAGTCTCTGCAGGAGTGATTTCCAAGTCCATGGTAGTTTCTACCGGTGGGATCTCAGCCGATTCTTTGGAATCAATAGTCTTAGTTGTCTCCCGTTCCAGCTTTGTTGGCGGAGTTTGGGATTCTATAGAGGCTTTAAGTTCCACCAGCGATTCATAGAAGTAGATCTCTCTATACAGGTCCTCAAGGTCTTTCTTTTCGTAGCAGCATCTTTTTCCGGGATCTTCCATTTGTTCTTTCAGTGGCATCAAGAAGTCACGTTGCTCTTTCAAACGCCAGTCTTCAAGGCATTCCGTCGCCCGCTTGTTTGTAAACACTTTATTTCTCACATAGTCTCTAAGAGTTGTGTGATCAATATCATGGTAGTAGTCACGTGAGGGTCGGAAGACCCTCTCTCCGCGGCCAAATCTGTTGGTTGCCATCGTAGCGCAGAGCTCGGCTATAACACAACCTTACTCTGTTTTATCAGGAACGAAAATGGGTGAGTAGATTGTGACTTTAACGTTGCATTTTATATCATACTTACAATTTTTGATATTTAGTGGTGAAAAAATTACTTAAAAGGAAAAATACTAACTCGAATTTCGTTATCACTAGGAAATACTATTTTACAAAGCGGGGCAAGTTGGCATCTATGGCGATGCCGTAGATAGCTCGCCTCATGCCTTTTAAAAATTTCTTATAGTATTTGTAGTACATAAATAACAGTTTTTACGTACTTGAAAATAATAAATGATAATTATTAATAGTAAATTATTAATGATTATAATCAATTATGTAAATAATTGTTCATTATAAATATAAGACAAATATTAAATTGAAAGGACTGAATAAATACAACTAATGTAAAACTTTATGAAGCATTTAAATACAGTAATTACCTAAATATTCTGAACAAAGTCTTCATCAGACTCTAAACTTGATAAGCTTTTTGTATCACAATCATAATCATCATCATAATTGTCTAACTTTCGCTTTTCAGCCATTTTACTTTACAAACATCCTTAAAAACGCGCCAAAATACGCATAAAAAGAACAAGGTAAAAAAATAAATTCCCCCTTTATTATGAAAAGAAATTCATGGAACCCGTACACCCATCTGTTGGCTGTAAAACTAATTACGTTTCGCGAGTAGGATTCGTTTTTAGCATAGTCAATGCAGAATAATAATGGCGAACGAGCTCAACTCGTCAGCGCGCATTGGGGAAAAATTTCACTACGTGAGTAGTGCTCATTACTAGCCATTACGGTTGAAATCTTGCTTCCGAGCGGACTCATTTGCGCGCATTATGAAGCACGATTCGATTGCGAGCTGAACTCGTTCATAACCGTCAAAGGGTTAAAGATAATTTTTAAAGTGGCTACTATATATAGATTTTTTTTTTCAAAAAAAAAAAAAGAACATGAAATATATCTAAGAGAAATTTGGTTAATTATATTCGATTTTTGGCAAAAATTGAAAAACTGCACAATGACAACTATTGTTTTTTTTGCTGTCATTTTGTGTTTAGGCACTGATTAGAACCTTGTTTATAGAACTAAAATAATTCTATCTATTTCTGAGCTATTATTTGCGTCTTATTCGCGTTGTATTTCTTTATTAGTTCTTGAAGCATACACGTGTAAAGTACAGCCAATCTTTATTTGGAAAAATCAGCTAGGAGATAGTTACTGATTTCTGACGCACAAGTCCAAAAAATATACGCAATTCCGGCTCCTGTACAATATTAAAAGTGTTATGTAAATTTTTGACAAGTACAAGTGTTTTAAGATAGTCCAAAAAAATGTCGGCGTGGAGTGTCATTCATAAAATGGTATGTAATTTTGAAAAGAAAAAAGAAAGTTTCTGGAAATTTAATAGTTGGTATTTCAATTTCATGGTCATTTACAATAATAGTAGTAATAAAAAAAAAGTAACTTACAGCAAACATAAAATTATCAACTTCTTCTCTAATGTCTTCTTCCGTAAACGATGGATCTTTAATGTGATGCTCTAATAGCAATTCCAGAAAAGCTCTATGACGTTTTGCATTTGAGATGCCGTCATTGGTAATGTTTTTTAATAGTTTATTATTTTCTATCATTTCTGACTTCTTCTTATTTATAACCTAAATAGCAAATCACGTAATTAAATAAACAAAAGAAGATTCAGTCATGTTCAATATATATATATATATATATATATATATGTCAGGGTCACGTGATGTAATAACACGCATTTTCTGATGTTGCGAGCTAAAAGCTTGATATTATAGATATGATCATTTTTTCTTGTTTTGGTTTTTTGAACAATGGATGAAAAAGAATAATAAAATGGTGAATTAGTTTTTGTAGAATTTTGCGTTATTTCTTTTGTAAAAGGTTACGACTGACAAATGTGCGGGGAAACCCCAATGGATTTCGAAATAAAAGATTGGTAGTTGTTTGTTCTATGAATTTCAAGTTGTTTGATGGAAGATAGTGAGTTATTTAGATTGTCTTGAAATTGGTTTAGGAAGTGGCATTTTTTTTTG